ACACTGATTTTCCATTAACTCTTTCAGGCCTACGACACTGAAGGATAACCACATATTACAGCTCGACCCTGCTGTGCCAAAAGTGTTTAGTGGACCCTATCCAATTGGCATTGACCCAGTAAGCACCTAGTAAAAACATCTAAACAGTTCTGTGGCAAAGATAGTCTAACTTCAGCCCTTTAAGAGCTGTTTTCCTTTCTCCTCTTACAGATCTGGAACATTGCCACCAATAAGCTGACCTTTCTGAACTCCTTCAAGATGAAGATGTCGATAGTTCTAGGAGTCATCCACATGACGTTTGGAGTTACTCTCAGTCTTTTCAATCACCTGTACGCACTTGTCTGTTGTTACTCTAAATAGATCTGTATCAGGATTTAATGCTTATTTAAGTCTGTTTGTCTACGTGTGAAGGTACTTCAAAAAACCTCTAAACATCTACCTGGGTTTTATTCCTGAGATCATCTTCATGGTCAGTCTGTTTGGCTACCTGGTGCTGCTCATTTTTTACAAATGGTTGGCATATGATGCCAAGAGCTCAAAAGAAGCCCCCAGTCTTCTAATAGCCTTCATCAACATGTGCCTCTTCAGTTACAACGATCCCACCAACAAGCCATTTTACACGGGACAGGTACGCACACCAATATCGTGTGAATTAATTCAACAGTATATGTGGCAAATGAGACAACTTGACATTTAAAACTAATGCTTCTTTCTTTTTCTCTGTCTCTGTAGGTTGTAATTCAGTGTCTGCTAGTTATTACAGCTCTCGCCTGTGTACCGTGTATGCTTATAGTAAAGACGCTAGTAATGCGCAGGCAATATCTCTGGAGAAGACATCTGGTAAGAACCTGTTTGACACGCCACATTAGAGATTCCTACATGTCCAGTTTTTAAGCTTTTTTATTTTTAGACAGTGTTTTTTTTGTTTTTATCTTGTAATTTCGATCATTGCTACATCAGTAGTGAAATTCTTCAGAATATTCATTAATGTCCACATGGATGTCTCTTAAGTATAATTATTAGGCCTGGAAAGGTCATGGAAATTAATATAATCTTTGAAAGGTCATGTTCATTTTTATAGTCAATATACACTTCTAGTTTGGGGTCAGTAGGATATTTAAATATTTTTTAAATTAGTCTCTTATGCTTATGAAGGGTGTAATAACAGAAATATTGAAAACGATTATATAATTACTATATAAATACAGTATATATATATACATATATATATATATATATATATATATATAAAT